CTTTTTTTATGTCCAATAGCTCTGGCTATGTCTTCCAGGACACCATGAACTAGAATTGGTTAATAAAGAGCAATCCCATCTGGTTCAGATGGGAGAAAGCTTTCAGATTCTCTCCGTTGATCAGTGTTCCCCCGCTCTCTCCATTGACTGTCGGTTTTACACATATGGCCTTAATTAGGTTGCAGATTTTTCCTTCTAGTCCTACTTTATGGAGCATTTCCCTCAACAATGGATGTTGGGTTTGTGGAATGCTTTTGCTCTAATAGTTGACATGATCGTGGGATTTTTCCGTTTTATTTATATCACGGCCTACAGGGACGGTTTTCTAATAATTCTTGCATGCCTGGAATAAACCCCATTTGACCACGACTTATTTATTTATTTTTAAAGTTTCGTTTATTAGCTAACATTTTGTTGACAATTTTTTTCCCTTTTTGTTCATAAGGGATAGCAGTCTGTGTTCTGGTGATATTTTTACCTGGTTCTGGTATCAGGGCTTATGCCTGCTTTGAGACATGCATTTCATCGTGTAATGTCCTTTTCTATATTCCAGGGGAGTTTTTATAGCACTGGGGTTCATTCTTCTCTAAGGGTTTGGTAGAATTTGCCAGTTAAACAATCTGGTCCCAGGCTCTTTGTTGGGAAATTTTTAATGACCTGATCTATTTCTTCTTGTGTTATAGGCCTGTTGAGGTTTTCCATATCGATCTGTGTTGATTTAGGCAGGTAGTGTGCTTCTAGATATTCATCTACCTCTTCTAGGTTTTTTAATTTCTTTACAGTGCTTCCTGATATTGTATAATTATCTTTTTGCTGGGGGGGGGCGGGTCCTGTTGTAATGTCTCCCATTTGATTTCTTATTTTTCGTTTTTGCTTCCTTCCTTTCCCTTCTTTTGTTAAACTTGTTAGTGGTTTATCAATCCCTTCAAAGAATCAACTTCTTGCTTGGTTGATTTATTTCTATTGTTTTTCTGTTTTTTTCATTTATTTGTGCGCTAATATTTTTTTTTCTTCTCATGGCTAAAAGTTTGTCTTGCAATTCTTGTTCAAATTGTTGTAGGTGATGAATTAAGGTGTTAATTTGGGTTCTTTCTTATTTTTTGATGTGGGCATTTATTGCTATAAATTGCCCTCTGAGAATTGCTTTTGCTGTCTCCCAAAGACTTTGGTATGCTGTATTTTCATTCTGATTTGTTTTGAAGGCTTTTTAAATTATATTCTTTATTTCTTCAATTATCTAATGTTCTTTTATGTAATTATATTTTTATAACATGGAAATTGATAATACTAAGAATTCATTCAGGAATTTAAAAACAAGAAAAAGGTTAAAATTATCTAATTTTAATGTGTGCTAATATGAAAAAATTATGATAACCCTGTAATAGCATTAATGGGCAGATAACAATTTATTTACTTCCTTTAAATTCAATGACATCATCCAAAGATTTCTTCTTGCAAAAAAAAGTTAATATAGGAAAGTTGTTTTTGTTTTCAGCGTTAACAATCTTGTCCTGATCACTCTTTTCTTTCCTTTTTTTTTACAATTCAAGTAAAGTGCTGTTCCAATTTCCATTTAATTGAATTCTGCTTGCTCTTTCTACTATTGATTTCTAAGTCTCTAGCATTGTGATTTGAAAAGATGACTTGTGGTATCCCAATGTTTGAAAATGTATCGATACTTGCTCTGTGCTCTAGCACCTGATCTGTTCAGGAGTATGGCCTGTGCTCTGTGTGCTGGCCAATAGTGTGTGCTGTACTGTTGCTGAGAGAATTGTTCTATTCCAGCTGAAACATCAGCTTGATTCATTGTCTTATCTACTTCATATATTGGCTATTAGCTTTTTTTCCCCAGTCCATCTGTCTTTCCTTGAGAGTGGTGTACTATTATTGTAGTATTTCCGATCTGTTTCTTCAACTCTGAAAGAGTTAGATGAATGCATTTTGAGGGTCTTTCATTGAGGGCACAGACGTTTTTATGGTTATGTCTTCTTGTTCAATTGTGGTTTAAATCAGCATATAATGGCCTTCTTTGACTCTCTAGATACCTTTTGTTTTGATATCTTTTAAAAACTTTTACTATTGTTAGCTGGATATATTGTTCCCGTCTTTGATTGTTAGTCTGTTCTTGTCTTTGTGTCTGTGGTGTGTTTCCTATAAGCAGCATACCAATGGATCTTATCCATTCTCTTTCTCATAGCTGGTGCGCTTCACTCATTTATGTCCAATGCTGCAATTGACCGTTCTGATTTAATTGCTGTATTTTAATGGTGCTGTTGTGTTTTCTGTGTTCATTGTAATTTTCTGTCTGATTTTATTGTTGGTTGATTTTCTGGTCATATTTCTTTGCTTTTGTATTTTTATCTTACTGTCTAGTAAGATAGGTATTTATGAACTTAATTGAATTTGTTAGATTTTAGTTGTAAGTGACAATTATAATCTATTCTTTAGAGTCTATTCTTCAAGGGTCCCCACCTTCTTAAAGATTTCCCTGAACTTGCAGCCTGGTCTGACTTCTCCACCACATTCACCACCCCTGAGTTCCTAGTGGTGATACTATAGCAAGTCACACAGAGAAGAAATTCATTATTTGAAGGAGGAGGTAAGCCCTGCACGGGCGAGGAATAGACAGACAAAGTATTAACACATCAGTGAGAACCTGGTGACATGGATACCCCCAAAGAGCAGGGCTTTTCATGCTCCAAACCCTCATCCTCAGTTATGCAGCCAGCCTCCGACATGGCCATCGGGAAACCTCACACCCTTGGCATGTAATGACTCCTGGAAATGGTGGCTTTCATCTTCGCACCGAGTTCAGTGAAGTTGGATTCTCAACTCTATTGCTTGAAAGCTGGAGCCAAGCTGCTTGTCAGACCTGCTCAGAGAACACCAGGAGACATGCATCGAGAAAACCCCTTAGAAAATGGATGATAATGGAAGTATAAAAATGGAAATGCTTTGTTTTAAAAGGAGCCTAGAAACCCACTTCTTCAATATTCCTGAAATATAGGCAGTATCAACCTGTGAGGAAGAAATTAAGTCCCCAAACCATTCAGGTAATGACTTGAGACAGGATTTAAACCAGAGACAAAAGAGCTAAGAATACACTTTAAGGTTTAAAAATAGTTTCTCTGGATGATAAGATTATAGATGATTTTCACTTTATATTTTTTCCATATTTTAAAATCCTTAAGTTGATAAGGGAGGGGTGTAAATAATCCTATTGAAGCTACATCAGGGCCCAGAATGAGGACTAGAAGCAAAATCTAAAAACAGTGAGGAGAGTTGTCTATAGAAGCCAAGAAATCAGCATCTGTCTATTGTCCCTGAAATTGTGGGAACTGAGCTCCTCCGCTGGAAGTAGCTTTCAAGCAGATATGGGGAAGTAGGGAACCTCTCCAGGCCAGAGCTCTAGAGTAGAGCTCAGGAATGCCCAACCTAACAGGGACCTAGAAAGTGAACAAGGACTTACTGGTTTGTCAGAGCAAACATAGACTTGTCGATCCAAGATAAGCTAAACTCTCAGACTAGATAGAATGCAAAATAGCAAGGTCTCCAAAGAAAGATTATCATGGTCTTGGGCTGGACTTCATAACTCTCCTTTGTACCCATGTCCTTAAACCTGGGGTCATGGTGGTTGCGACTTGGGTTCTTAACCGCAGGGTCAGCAGTTTGAAACCACCAGCCTCTCCTGAGGAGAAAGCTGGCGTCTCAGAACCCTACAGGGAGAGGTCCACCCTGTCCTATAGGGTTGCTATGAGCCGGCATCCCCTGGAGGCAGTGAGTTTGGTTTTTAGTTTGGTCATTCATCCCGGTGGTAGAACCTCCTGCCCATTGAACTTGGTATTGCAATCAAAGCCCCGCCAGCTGCAAGCGAATGGGGGTCAGGAATGGGAAAGAAGAGGGATGCAGAGAGACCAGCTATGTAAGCCTGTGAGGGGAAAGCAGCAGAGATGGCTGAAGTTCCTCCCTCTGCCGCATGTCAGTCCCTTCGTGCGGTGGGCAGTCAGGGGATCCGAGACGTAAGTTAAGAGAGAGCACTGGAAATGAATGCACGGTTCCTGCATGCGCCTTTCGTCCTCAGAGATGCAAGAGGACCCTGGGTGACATAGGATTCAAACTCATCCCCCCACCCCCACCCCATGACCGCTGCTCCTGAAGCACTTTCAAACTCCACACAGATATTATTCAAAGAAAACTTTATTTGCCAAAATAATTTGGGCCATGCAGGATTCCATAGCTGGAAGATACACAAGTACAGGCTTAGGACGTTGAGTGGAAGTTGTCAGGTGATTGTAAGACAGCTCTAGCAAGTTCTCAACAAGCTTCTTTCTCCACGGGCCACGCAGTTTTACATATCTCACAGAGCACTGGCATTCAATAAATATGTACTAAAATTTTAATAATTTAATAATAATAAAAATGTAACCAAAATGGCCCCAAACCCTAGCCTCTCTTCTAGAACTTAGAGAGTTGGTTTACTCTAGCCAGGTGATAAATACAATCTTGTAAATTAAAAAAAATAATAAATAAGTTTCACTGTTCGCATATAAAAATAAATAAGTTAAATAGCAAACAAAAATGATGATCATATCCAACTAATAAATATAGCCAACTGTAGAAAAGATAGTATAAAAATATTGCTCAAACCACCATCTATAGTAAGGTTGGGAATACATGAAGCCAACCATACTACGGAAGCAAGTGATAAATAAATAAAACACACAGGGATCCACACAACATAGTATCACAGAAGATGGTGGTCTGGATTTGCGCCTCCAGGAGTCCGGAAGCCTGGAATCTTCCCAGGAGTCCCTCGATTCAGCCGCATCACTGTCTTCCTAGCTGGTTTCCTCCAGCCATTGCAGGAAAATGTCTAGCTCCCCCAAGGTCTTCACCACAGCTGCCTGAGGAGCAAGCTGGAAGAGACACAGTGATGTGGTTGGTGACTCCTAAAGAGATCTTCACTTTGGGATGAAGTCTCTCCTCTTACTGGCAGCACTGTTGGGGCTTATGACCAGTGTGTTCTGGGTCTTGACATAGCACAGAGCTTTAAAAAAAAGTTCTAGAACCTCAAGATTTTGCATGAAAAAGAAAGATGGTTGAGCTTAGCACCCTGGGCTTACATAGAGGACCTGGGGCTCAGGGGCAATAGAATGCGGATGACAACCCTAGGCACTGAAATCACAGAGATCAAAATAATTAGACTCTTTCTTTATGGAAGATAAAGTGGTGTGTGTGTGTGTGTGTGTGTGTGTGTGTGTGTGTGTGGTATCTACTGTGCATATTTCAAATATTTCTTATGCCAAGCACTCGGCTGGTGATCTAAGGATCCAGAGATGAGTGGGATAATCCCTACCCATAAGGCACTGACAACCAACAAGGGAGTCTGGCAGAAGCAAGCATTTAGACAGGCTAGTGGAGTTCTACCTTACAAATCTGGCTGGACCAGAGGATGTACACTGGTACAGATAGGAACTGGAAACACAGGGAATCCAGGACAGATGAACCCATCAGGACCAGTGGTGAGAGTGGCGAAACCAGGAGGGTGGAGGAAAGGTGAGGGAGAAAGGGGGAACAGATTACAAGGATCTACATATAACCTCCTCCCTGGGGGATGGACAGTGGAGAAGTGGGTGAAGGGCGATGTCGTATGGTGTAAGATATGACAAAATCATAATAATTTATAAATTATCAAGGGTTCATGGGGGAGAGGGGAGAGGGGAACGGGGAGGAAGGGGGAAAAGTGAGGAGCTGATACCAAGGGCTCAAATAGAAAGCAAATGTTTTGAGAATGATGAGGGCAACAAATGTACAAAAGTGCCTGACACAATGGATGAATGTATGGATTGTGATAAGAGTTGTACGAGCCCCCAACAAAATGATTTTTAAAAGAAAAGAAAGGCTAGTGGAGTCGCCATGGGAGGGCAGAGAAGCACCTGACTGAGGAAGGCAGCCGGTACCTTCCTGCAAGTGATTCCCAGGATGAGTAAGATTTAGTCAGCGAGGGCTCAGTGCCAGACCTTCCTGTCAGACTGCAAAGGCAAGGGGGTGAGAAACAGCATGGCGCGGACGTGTGTGAGTTTGGGAGTGTTTCAGAGGTGTGTGGTAGTGTGTGACTACTGGAAAACTCTTGTCTTCAGTTTGTGCATCTGGAGGATCCAGAAATCTTGGGAGTGACTTGGTGGAAGCCTGACCCTTCCCTTCCATTTCCCAGGGCACCATCCAGGGAAGCACCCTACTTGAGCCGGAAAGGGCATCCCCTGGCTAAAAGCAGATGCCCTTAAAGAGCTATTAACCTCAGGGTTGCAGAATGTCTACCAGTGTGAACATCCTTCCCCTCAATGAACACAGTTCTCAAAACACACCCATCCCAGCCACGGCCCAAACTGCAGGTACCTCTTCGAAGTGACTCAGGATCTGGCCGTATTTCTCCGCTGCTTCCTCGCCGCAATGGCATGTCTTACGGTCATGCTGAAAAGGAACCAGAGAATGAGAGACTTCTTAAAGATGTTCAATTCTGCCCTTCCCTTTGATATGAAGTAAGTGGTGATGCTATGCTTTCTCTCACATCCCTATAGATACTCCACTCCTTAGGAAGTCCTTGCAGCTGTTTAAAGTCATTATACTGATCATCAGCTTGAACAGAAGTCCAGCTGTTAGGCAAAATATGGAGCTCATATTTCCTCCTTATAGAAACAAGCAGCTCTGGAAGAATTTGACATCAGCTCCCCTAACTGAACCCCCACCCCCTCGGCATCTGCACCTCGCCCCAGAGCAAGCCTGCACCCCCACAGGAAGAGAGACTTGGACTCCTTGGTCCTATTCAGAGTCTGTCCTGAGATGGCGTCTCCTGACTTGCCCATGAACTGTGTGCTGACACAGGACACACGGCACACAGTGGGCTAGCTCACCCGCAGAGTCAGGGGAACGTCGGAAGGATAGATAATGACCCACAACATCAAATAACTAGCAATCACCTAGTTCTTCAGTCCTTACAAAGTGTTTCTGCACAGTCTATCCACAAAGGTCAATGCAACTGGATTCCTATTACTTGGTCACATGGTTTGGCTCAGATCATTGGAACTTTTGGACTTAGTTGTTGTTTCAGCCGCTAAACTAGGATAGGAATGAGAGTGTGGTTCTTAAGCTACGAGAGTTGTGTGCTTGGATGGATCCTCTCACCCCAAACCCTTCCTTACACAGAGTCGGAGGTCCTTCAAGATGGTAAGAAAGGAGTTGGCGAGACTACTGATCTTCCGGAGAGTGTGGGGATCTGAGGTCTGGTAGTTCTTGAATACCCTCTCCAGGTAGAGTCTCAGGACGCGGCGGAGGAGGCAGCACTGATCTGAAGGCTGACAAGAGGACGAATGTGCTGGGAGGGGCCAGGAACAGAACCCACTGGGATGGAGATCCCCCACTCCGTCCTCTCTCTCTCCCACAGCTCAACTGGTCCAAGCACATACCTCTGTGTCTTGCAAAGATAAGGATTTGCTCAAGATTCTGGTGTCAATGTTTCTGTCCTCCGCTTGCTAAATAGAAGAAGGCGAGACAAGAAAGGACAGGTTAGGGACAACCGCCAGGGTCATAGACATCAAAGACACGGCCCTCTCTCCCCGGCAAGGCCCCGTGAGAAGTGTCCCTTTCCAAAACACGTTTAAATTGTGAACTAGGGCTATCTGTTGGGAATGCATCCTTCTGGAGAGGAGCGCCCCGTCTTTTTTGTGCCCCCCGCCTCCCCACTAGCAGAGCTTGCCAGGAAAGAAACACAGAGAAGCGGAGAAGCAGAAAGGCAGTCACATTGAAGGAGGGGCGGGGCTTCTTTACATACCACGCTGTCCCGGATCTCAGAAAACGTGCTTTGTATCTTCTGAAGGTTGGTGGAGATCACACAGCTTCCCAAACGGAGTGTCTTCTGCCCGGCAGAGGGTGTGCACAAGAGACCGAGCGTGGCAGCGAGCAGACAGAGGGCAGGGCCAGAGCCTTTCATCTTGTGCCTGGAATCTGGAGAGCACGCGGGCTAGGACTGCACAGGAAAGACAGCATGACTTGTTGGTTTCTCCTCTGGTACCCAAAGAAGCCATTCAATCACCTGGTGTCCACGCTCTGAACCTTTCTCCGGTTCCACACAGACTGGCCCATTCATTCAACTTACTAAGACAAGGCAGTGCACAGCCTCCAGTGAGGAAAGCACTCAAGTGCTCTCTGGCTCACTCGCTCGGGGTCTGAGTGTTGGTGGGACAAGATCCTGGCTCATTTATGCGGCCCCATCCCACCCCACCGTCATTGCCCAGCAAGCAGGGCCTGGGGCAACGGGGACTTATGGTGAGTCGATGGAAGATGACACTTCAGGAAAGGTGTCTAAACTTGTTTTAGAGAATTGACGTATGTAATATTTGTGTCTAAAATGTCAATGGAGATGCCGTTTCTAGTCCCCTAGGCCCTTGGGGCCACAGGAGGAAAACAGACTTTCCCCAGAAGCTGTGTCTATGCCATCCAAAATGCTGGGTGTATGACCACCCCCAGGGGCTGAGAAGCTTAGCTCTAATTAACATCTGCCTGAGATCAGACTGGCTTTTTTTTAATTTTTTTTAAGAGTAATGGATTGATGTCAGCCCGCAAGGCAAGCAGAAACCCCATGATTTCATAACCACGCTGCTGCCAGAGAAAGGCAAGTCCTACTGGGCCCTCTGCCCATTTCCACCAGCACTTCTCCTCCCTCCTGGCCGTCTTGGGCTCCACAGCGCCCTCTGAAGGACAGCCGTGGTCAGGCACTCCTGTGTGCAGCCAAGAGCAGGCTCTTTCCCGGCATGGCAGCAGAGGCCAGAGGCAGAGTGAGGATTCCCAAAGGGAGAGAACGGCAGTGGCGAGCTCATTTCTGCGTGAGGCAAGTCTGCTCAGGGTGAGGCCAAGGATCATATCTGTTGAATTTCAAAGTAAAAATGATAATAACCTGGGAATAAAACCCATGGCATTGAGTTGATGCTGACTCGGAATGACCCTCTAGGGCAGAATTGAACTGCTCCTTCGGGTTGCTGAGCCTCACCTTTCTCCCAAGGACTGGCTGGTGGGTTTGAACTGCTGGTCTTGAGGATGGCAACAACAATCAAAAAAAAAAAATCACCAATGAGCAAACTATTAAAATTTTAAACAAAGGCAGTGCCATTCGTTGTGAGCCATGTTGAAACTCAAGGCAAAGAAAGAACACGCATGGTATAGATGCGGTTTTTATCTATTTTAAGTGTAAGGTTTTTCAAGAAGTACCTTATGAAAAGATGATTGATGGATTTGCTTTCTTTAAAGCGAACCGTGAGCCATTGTAATAAAAAATTCTGTTTGGTTCATAAATAAAATATTTAAACTTAAAATCCAACATTTTCTCAAAGACTTTAAAGTTCGCAGAAGAAAATATTAGACCTATGACACAAAATAACAGCACTCTCAAAGGAAACAAACCAAACTCAATTCCATTGAGTCGATACCAATTCAGAGTGACCCGAGGTAGAACTGTCCCCATGGGTTTCTGAGACTGTAACTCTTTTTTTTTTTAACACTTTTATTGGGACATAATCTACATAGCATATCATACAATTCAATAGCCCAATCATTGAGACTGTAACTCTTTACAGGAGTAGAAAGCCCCATCTTTCTCCCTAGAAGCGGCTGGTGATGTTGAGTCCCTGATCTTACAGTTCACAGCCCTATGTGTACCCACTACGGCACCAGGGCCTTGCCCCAGACTCAAATACGGGTTAACACGCCACAGATTATCACCACCACAGGCCGCCATGAGCTAGATACTTTATATGTACATCTAGGAGAAGGGAATAAACAAGTGAAATTCAGCAGTGTCCGGGAGAACTCTAGGTTTGGAGATAAGAGAACTAGGTCCAAGTCCCTGCTCTAGCACTTCCCATCTATGCCAGGTGACAGACCATGATGGTTTGCCCAAGTCTGAGAAGGTTCTTAGGGCACAGGCTTTCCATTTCAAAAGAGAAAAGTCTCAGGCAAGCGAAGATGAGTGGTTCACCTACATCTATATGACTTTGGGCAGGTGGATTCACCTATCTAAGTTTTATTGTCTTGGCCCCCCAAAACCTGAAACCCCAGGAACTTGTTTCAACATGTATATTGAATGATGGACGTATGATACATGCACCTAGCACATAGTGAGTACTCAATATATATTACATAGAGATTGATGAGAACCATCAAGAGAGCATTTCTTGAGTATAACCTTGATCTAAATTTTGCGTTAGGCACTGGGCTACAAAGATAAAGAGACAATTCCTGTCCTTTAAAATGTTTCATTCTAATGGAAAGAGTCCCTTTAAGTATACCCACATGAACACATCTGAGTAGACTGGTTGGGCTGATCCTCAAAACCAGAGGTTGAACATATAAAGAATTCTCTTACCAGAGCTCAAGAAGTGCTGCTGCTTCTGGTCTTCTGGGAGTCTGTCTCAAGCTGAGAGGCTCCCAATTATTTATACAGGTAGCCTGAAGGAAGTGAGAGCCAGCAGGTGAGGGCTGGAACTCCCTTGGAATTTCTCTGGTGGCATAGCACTTCCTCAGGTCCTGGGGCAGATTAATTGTTGGTAGGCTTACCCCAACACCTTCCTCTCCCAAGAAGCATTGCTCGAGGGGATTACTGGTTGTAACCATGAATCAAGGACGTGCCTCCATCTGACCCCACCTTCCTGCTGGGAAAAAATGAGAGTTATCGGTCCAGAAGATAAAATTAGCAGATGACTTTTCCCATTCCTGAAAATCCAACTCTCCTTAGCACGGTTCCTCCTAGCCTCAGAAATTATGGGCTCACTCTTGGTCTTTTCCTGCATTATTGCTATTCCCACCAGATGGAATGCTCTCCTTCCTCCATCCACCATTCAAGGTGGACCCAAAGCTTTCATTCCTTAATGACTCTGGACCACACCAATCCCACTTTCTCTGACTTCCAACAGCAGGTTTTTTTAATGGCATATTAAATCATTCAATGCTGCCCTCTGCTTCAAGGGTCTTTGCCTTGTCTACCTAATGACACTGGGAGATGTTCTTGGACAGGGCCTAGTCTGTCTTGTAGGACCAAATTTTAAACAAGATTTCATTAAAAGCACCTCAGATGTATTCCAGATGACTCCTTAAAAATCATCGAGCTGTGTAAATTATATCCCTGTGGACCTTTCTTTCCTACCTAGTACCTCAAACTCTGAAGTTCCCCATTCGAGTCCAAGGATTCCACAGTTAACAAAACGACTTCAGCATGATCTTCCTTCTCTCTGGATTTTCATTTCTAAGTCTGTAAAATGGGAGCTTTAGAATCTGAGTTTTTGTTCGCCTGCCTTTGGGATCAGAATGCTCTCTCTCCGTAATGTCTTTGAATGTCTTCCTACAGTGTTCTGAAGATGAAGATGATTTCTTCCCAGTCTTATGTTTACTAAAGTTGAAACAATGAGTAAATAACTCATCTAAATGTCTCTTGAACCATATAAGCTGATGCTCATCTTTTCATCACTAAGTGAACAATTTCTCTTGATCATCCATAAGTGTGATTAGAGTAAAATTGAGAATTATGAACTGACAAGAATATTTGAAGTCAAGACTTCCGGAAAGTTAGTGTATGCACAGACTGGCTAGACCCAAGCTAGTCCATTTCCTTCCATCAACCTAGAGGAACTCAATCTTCTGATTTAACCTCCCTGTGGTGATTCATTAAACTTAGTTATTCACGCGTAATCTGAATTTTTCTTTAAAAATCGTTTCCCCTCTCCTCTACTCAAATATTTTATTCTGTTAAAATCCACTGAATAATTCTCATATCATACTCTGCACAGACACCAGCTCAGGTCTGCCTCTTTATACACCCCATGTCCCACACAAGGCACAATTAATCAATCCCATCTCTGGACATTCATTTCACCTTGTACTTACCACTCTCTATTTATTACCACTGTCAAGGAGCTCTGATAGCCATGTGGGATAACTGTTGGACTGATAGCCACAAGGCTAGCACCTCCACTGCATCGACTGTGCCATGGGAGAAAGAGGGGGCCATCTGTTCTCGTAACTATTTCACATCCTACCAAGCCCTGGAGAAGGTCACTCAGAGTCAGAATTGACTTGATGGCAAAGGCTTTGGGATTTGGGTGTGTCACCACTGTCTGTTGAAACGTTTGGGGGTCACATATCTGTGTCTGCCACAAGCCTGAGACCTTTTTGTTCATTTCCATGGTCCCAACTTCCACAAAGTGCTCAGATGACTGTTGAATGAAGATAATGATTTAAAATCTTTGTCATGCTACATCCTAAAGCTACAGAGTTTTATGAAAGGTGAGGCATACAAATCGGTACTAACAAGCCTAAAGGAAAGAGGCATGGGAATATGGAGCGTAGATAAGCTAGTTTGAGGTCAGAGGCAAGGCTGGCCGTGCTAAGGAACATGGGCTTTATCCAGCAGTTAGATGCTAGGGAGAATTTCAGCAAGAAGCAGCATGATTAGAAATTCTACTTGAAGTACAAGAAAGTGGAGCTAGCACAGTTCAGGAGAGAGCACTGGTATGACCTGGATTAGTAGCTGCAGGGGTCAAGAACTCTGACTGGGCTTAAAACATTTTAAATAAGTAAAAACATATTTGGAAAAGGATCAAATGTGCAGGTTAAAGAGAGACATAATCAAAAATAATTATATTTAGATGGAACCACGTGCAATTTCCATCTGTCTGGGTCAACAATGATCTAATATTGATAATCCCACATGGTTCAACCTAATCACTGTTATTTTAATGACAAATTATAGCAAAATACCAAGCATATGCTAACTGTTCTATACTTTATTTTCATTGTAATGCCTATATATACATGAATACATATTATGTACAGATAAAATATATAATGTAAATATAGGAATACATATACGATATGCATGGTTTTACTTAATTCTCACTAGAAGACCACTAAGAAGGTAAACTTCTTGGGCGCAGGTGTTCTGTT